TACACATTTATAGTGGTGTCCTAGTATGATAATAATCACGATAATAATTTGACAGGAGAACACACCCAAAAGCTGGGATGATTACATGAGATTTGGGAGACATGCATGGTTATAGGCAGTTTGGAATTTGTAATTAAAACAAAATTTCAGGCTTGGCCTTTCTTTGGCAGAAACATTTGAAACATTCTTTCCTGTAGACAAGAACACCTGAACAGGAACTTGTGTAAAATTGGATTTGAGCAGAAACAGAACAATATAAGGAAATTCTCTTTAGAAAACCAGGTTGACATATTTGTGAAATACCATGTTTCCCCGAAAATAAGATTTGGTCTTCTATTAATTTTTCCTCAAAAAAACACATTAGGGCTTATTTTCAGGGGATGTGTTATTTTACAGTCATGTCATCTTCTGGTTGCTGCACAATGGTGGAGGGCGGGGTTTCATTTAATTGGGGATTATTTTTGGGGTAGGGCTTATATTATGAGCATCCTGAAAAATCATACTAGGGTTTATTTTCAGGTTCAGTCTTATTTTCGGGGAAACAGGGTATATATAGCCTAAGCTGCCTAACTGTAGGGCTGAAAACCAAAATTGATAAATCAGTGTATATAATCCACTTGCTCACTGCAAAAATGTGGATTTTTCTATATCATTTTGAAGCAAGGAGAAGCCAAAATACTGCTGAGTTTACCCACACGTTGCAAGGTAGAATTTCTCAATAGATCAAACTACACAATATTGTTGCAGTATTGTTACAAGCAGAGAATTGGAGAACTGCAGAGAGGTGGCACCGGATAATTTGCATACTTGCAGAGGAAGCTTGGGGTGTCAGGCAGGATCCTTTCCTAATTATAGAAATACATGACTGGGGAATTTAACCTGAGATCTTCTGTAGAGAAATTATGCATTGGAATATCAGCAGGATTCATGAGTTTCAGGCCCTTCCCTTTGCATTCCAGCACAAAAAAGAGGGAGGGAAATTGGTGTAAGGAGTGCATAAATTTGGTAATAGGTAATTATTGAAAGAAAATTCCAAACATGGAATGAGATCCAATCAATTAATGAGTATCTGATGGTTATAGTGGAGTGTTCATATCAATTTTCTTCGGTCTTTGAAAGATCCATTCTCTTATGAGAAGGATACGTTGGAAAATTACAAGTATAAAATCAGAAGTGCTTCAATAATTACAATGTAAAATATAATTGTTTAGAATCCAACTAAAAGTTAAATTTGTAATAAATTTCTGTTTAGCCATCTCATGTGGTACCTAATCAGTGAAAGTAAATTTCACAGGGAGGGGTACTCTGAAGTCTCAGTTGTATGTTAACATGTTCACTTGCTTTAAAAAAAAACTGAGACTTATGTCCATTCATTCCTTTCCTCAACCACAATCCTACAGAGTCAGTGAGGACTGCTGCAAAATACTTTGGAAATAATGCTATTTACATGCCATGAGCAGAAATACAGATTTTGATGCCTCAGATTTAATGGAAGAATTTGTATCTTTTAACTGCGTTATTGGTGTAGACTTAAAGACATAACTTACACTTTGTTTGATTATGTGGTCTTCCCTTTTTTATGTAATCCTCTCACACATACAGAATATAAAGAGAGCCCTGCTTATTGTTATTTCATATGGCATAGCAGAATACAGTATTATTGCTTAAGAATTCACAGACAGTATAAAATATGTATAAAATGTAAAACTTTAATAAAATAAATTCTACAAGATTTTTAAAAGATGCAATATGAATAGCAAATAATTAGTGAAATAAATTATGTAGGTGCAGTTGCTAGAGCAACTAGGCCTAAGGCTGGATAACTAAATCATTTAACCATTGAACTGCCCAGAGACCTCTGGGTAGTGTGGGGTGCAGTTGCTAGAGCAACTAAACTAGGCCTTGAATAACTAAATCATTTAACCATTGTACAGTAGTGCCCTCAAGATGATGTAATTCTTGCAGGGAGCCATGGAACCTTCTAAGGGAGCATTCCATTGCAATGTGATGTAAAGTTTGCAGGACGTACCCACAATTAGAATTATCAGCCACCCTTCATTTATGTTTCCAATATTGGCACCTGCCACAGCAGTGCCCTCAAGATTATATAATTCTTGCAGGGAGCCATAGAACCGTCTAAGGGAGCATTCCATTGCAATGCGATGTAAAGTTTGCAGGACGTACCCACAGTCACAATTAGAATTATCAGCCACCCTCCATTTATGTTTCCAATATTGGCACCTGCCATGGTTAGTTCGAATCTGGGGAGATCAAAGCCATAAAGGGCATTGTACTGGATCAGACACTAAGTTAAGCAGATCTGGATTAGAAGCTGCCCACTCCTGACACTGTCTCAGTCTCAGTCTTCTCTGACTAGTTGCTGCCCAAGTTTCCACAGTGGGTTCTCAGATTTGAGAGCCATGCTAAACCAGAACAAAAGGCCACCAAGTTAAGTTTCATGTTTCTACTTCTGGCTTGCTGGATGCTTCTGAGAACCAAATAAGTAGGGCATGAAAGGAAAACTCATAGTAATTGCCTAGGAATTCATCTAATTATCTTTTAACACAATCTGAGTTGGTGGTCTTCACCACAACTTGTTAGAAGTACCGTATATAAAATCAGTTAATTTTGTGAAGAAAAACTTGAATCAGTTTTCTTTGGATGAATCCAAAGTTGCTTTATTTATACATACGCTGAAGTATGGCAGGTTACTTCATTCTGCAGAAATAGATTGTGATTGGTTGCAACACTCTGTCTCAACTGTTTTCATTATGTGTTATGATTTACATAAGTGGAACAAATGTGATTACAATGCCTGGCTTGGCAATATACCATAGAACATCCTATATATACTGAATACTTATTATTTTAATATAGTAGACTAGGGTGGGGAACCTTTGATCCTCCAGATGTTTTGAACTATAAATCCTGTAAATCCTTTGCTATTGGCTGTGCTGGATGAGGCTGATATGAGTTACATGCTAAAATATGTGGAGGAATAGTTGCCTATCCTTCATTGTTGTTGGAGTGTGCTGTCAAGTCAGAACCAATTTATAACAATTTATACCTTTCAAGGTAAGTGAGATATTTAAGGAGTGACTACCAGTTCCACTCACTCAGTGAGTTTCCATGGCTGAGCTAGTATTGAACCCTAGTCTCCAAGAGTCCTTATCCATCTTTTTAATTTTGCAGTTTTCAGGTAGTTGTGTTCTGAAATAAAATAAATTTGAAAATCCTTTTGTAAAATAATTCTATGATGCAATCTCTCTCAAAGCCCTCCTCAAAATCTATCTTATTCTGCATCCCCTACTGATGACTAAGCGTAAATATCTGTTACACAGTGCATATTCTTTACCAATTTTTCCTTTGCTCCTCCTGTCTTTCCTTTTACCCTTGTTTTCTTCTCATTTTGAATTTAGAAGTGTGAAGCATCGGACCTCTCACTCCTTAACTATTTTTTCCTCCCAAGAGCTGACATCTCTAGCTGAATTATAAAGTGCAGACGGCTACTTGTCCAAAAACCAGGCATTCTGTTAGATCAGTCTTTCTCTCCCTTAAGAAACAGCCCCCCTACAATTGGTGTCTGCCAGGCATCATTGTAATTTCCCTATAATGCTTCAGCTTTATCATTGGCAGTAATTTAAATAGTCACTCAAAAAAAGATGAGTTAAAGGGAAAAACCCCTGTAGGCACTGCTTGTGGGCCATGGCAGTTGCATGAAGATACCATTTAGTGGCACCAAGTGTATTTATATTAGTAAATGGTCTCTGGTAGATGTGTAAACAAAATTAAACCCTGAGCCATTTACCACCCTTTTGACTCTGAGGCATGGCTGTAAGCCTCTACCAGGAAAAAAAAGGTTGAAAAAGAGGTGCCCCCCACAAAAAGAAGGCGGCAGTTTTTACTTTCAGGAAAAAGAGAAAGAAAAGGGCGAATAAGGCTGCTGTATTTAGCTGCCTAGCACTGACCTGGATAGCAAGATTTTGTCACCCTCCAAATTTTGTTGCCCCAGTTCTAACCCCAACAAAACGCGAAGTATAAACCAAAAGGCTTGGGGTAGTTCTGAGACTTTTGTTGTTGTTGTTGTTGTTGTTGTTTCAGCGGGAACTTTCCTGGACTGCAATCTACACCCTCAGAACCGTGGATCGCGCACATAGATGGCTCCACCAAAAGGCTTGGGGTAGTTCTGAGACTTTTGTTGTTGTTGTTGTTGTTTCAGAGGGAACTTTCCTGGACTCCAATCTACACCCTCACAACCGTGGATCGCGCACATAGATGGCTCCAACCCATATTTGTCTATAAAAATAACTTGACGGCTTCCACACTGATCCGGCGATTCTCCAAGAGTGTAATTATTTTTACCGAAGCCTCCACAGAATCCCTAAATTATACAGTGAGGGAAAGCAACACTTGAACCCTGGAGCACAACAAAAGTAAAAGCGAGCCAGTGAGGAAAGGCTGCCGCTGAGGGGTGTGTGTGTGTGTGTGGGGGGGGGACACACCGTCTTAACCTTCGCCTCCCCGCAGGGCTCCCTCCCTGCCTTCTGTTACGGTTCCCTGCCATTGGCTGCTTCTGCGAGTTGAGGCTCGAAAGCTCTCTAATTAGGACCCCGGCGGACACGGAGCCCGCTTCCTGGGCAAGCCAACCAAACGTCCCGAGGCGCGACGACGACACGGCCAACATTTCCCTTCGTTCCCAGGTCTCGTGCCCGGCCGAGCTGGTTCGTTTTCTCTCTTCGCCGGGCAAACTTTCCTCTCCTGGCGGCCTGAGCCGAGACGGTCGTCGCCCAGGCAGGTGGAGCGTCGTCGTGGGGCGAGAGAAACTGTCGCCGCTGCCTGAGAACCGGGGCAAGGCAACGGGAGAGGCGGGTGGGGCGAGAGGGGTGTTGTCGGCGTAATTGGCGCGGCGCCTCGTCGGGCGAAGCCAAGCTGGGCTCCAGTTCCTGGACGTTGAGGCGTAGGAGGGATCCGGAGCCCGGGGAAAACAGGCGTAGCAGGAGCGAGGAGGTAAAGCGATCCGGGGCACCTGGTTCATTGATCAAAAGGCGGGCATGGTTCCTTGAAGGGGGTGACTCGCCACACCCCGAATCTGCAGGCAGGTGGCGGGAGAGGAGCGGGGCCGTGGATCGGTTCCCCGTTGAATCGGCAGAGAAACGCATAAAGGAACGTAGCGAAGACCAGACAAGCGATCTGCCATTCGGAGGTTCTTTAACTTTCCGTATTTCCCACATACTTTTTTTAAAAAGAGAATTTTTTCTAGATGAAGTAAGAAAAAGTCAAAATAGGGTGTTATCCAGTCTCATTAAAATTAAGGTTGTTTTTGACTTGGTACATGGATTGCATGAGCAGTCTGACGTTCTGTTGTGTCTAAAAAGAAGAATGCATAGTCTGGGATAACTGAGATAATCCTTTTAAAGTAAGGGACATCTGGTAACCCTTTTAACGTCCCACATGTTATTATGTTAATTCGTTTATTTTTAATTGCAGTCTATCTCCTACTTAGAGCTGCACTGCTCCCCTCATTTACACTTACTCTCAGCTATGTGCCTATATAGGAATACTGTACATCTTCAGTTTATTAGAAATGCTGTATGCTTTTCAGCGGGGATGGCAGGTTTCATTTGCAGCGTCATTTAAGTCTCTGATTGAGAATGCAAGTGTACTTGGGTCTTTTTTTAGGGGAAAGGTGCGGTAAATATATTTGAAATAAAGAAATAATAAGTTGAGATCCTTGCTGCGATGATAGTGAAAAACAGGTTATTCTCACCTACTCCTTGTCACTGGATGTACCGGTATTTGCAGAATGGATATAACTTTCAGCAAAACTGAGCATACACTGTAACATGCAACTGCACCTCCAGCCATGTCATCACATAGGCAGGATTCTGCTTTCAGTGGAAAATGTCCCACACAGGATAAAGTGGCACAAGGCAGTTGAAAAGATATTGTCACTGTGAGTGGCTGCACCACACTGTCTGAAAGGCACATACCAGGAACATATCCCTTGTTGTATATAGTACAGGAAGGAAAAATGAAAAAGACGTTTGGAATGGGTTAGGGTGTCTTGCACAAGGGACAAGGAGCTGCAGAAAGATAGGCATGGGAATGAGGGGGGAGAGAAAATTATGGGCCAATGGATGGCACACAGCACAACATGGCAATACAGACTGAAACAAGAAGGCAGTCAAGGATTTTTATACAAAAGCATAAAAAGCACAAAAGCTTTGTGGTGATACTGACCATAAAGAAATTGACAGAATGCTCTGGATTCTCCTCCATGCTAGAAAGTATTTTTTTGAATTGTAGGGTTTTTAATCAGAACCTCAAAATGTTGATGTACTCGGAATCAACAAGTTGTTTGCATAGTTGGGCTGTCTTTGTAAATACGTGGAGTACATATATTTGTCTATATAGAATTTATATCCCTGTAAAATAGTTGGATGGGTTTGATGGCCTGGTTACATGTGTTTGAATGTCCACTGTGCTTCCAGGAAGAGAAGCCATCTGAGATCACCCAGTGTGTGCATGGGTGATGAGATTATGTGCCCTGGCACCTATGCAGCCTTTGACAAGCTGCATGGTTCCAGAGTGCCATTAGAAGGAGAAGCTGGTAAACTATTTTTGAATACTTTATAGCTAGAAAAAAATAGGTGAATCACCATAAGCTAGGATCGACTTGAGGGCATGTGATTATTATTATTTAGAAGTCTTTGATCTGTGAAATTTGTCATTATAAAGTCACTTTCAGAGGAGGACTGTGGGTGGTCTTTAATTTCTTTGAGAAAGTACTCTGTTTCAGACACAGTTCAAACTGAGATTGAGAAAGACAGGAATAGACTTGTGGCTACAAGGCTGAGTGGAGGTAATACATGCAGAAACAATTGTGCCCATTATTATTTGTTTCTTTCTATTTCCATGGTCATTGCCTATGTCATTTACATTACTGAGAGGTGGCAAAAGATCCCAAAGATAATCTATTGTGATCATAATAGGTTCTGAGCATTGTCAGGATTGATTTACTCCCTGGTTTTCCAGTATATTCCCAAAAAAATTCTGATCTATTTTTCAAAAGAGGGTTAATGGCTTTAGTTTGAAGGTGATGTAGGATTTAGTTGAGGATATAGAAACCTTGCTCTTAAATTCAGATATGTGAAGGCTGGTTGTGCAGAAGGAAAAGTCTTTCTGCATGTATTCAAGAGATACTTTTTCAGATTATTCTTATGATTCCATGCTGACAATGAAAACAGCTTTGAAATTTAAATCCTAATGTTCTGTTTACATTTGGGTATGGTGTGTCTCCCTCTTGCAACTGTGAGCCTAGGTAGATGCTACTTATATTAGTGATGTTTCAGAGAGGTCTCTATTGGAAAGTAGATTGTAGATCTGAGAAAAAAAAGAGGCTAACTGTCCCAGCTATTTAAGGATTAGACTCTGAAATTAGTCTATATACTAATTTAGGCTGAAATTAGTATAAGCGTGGGGGTGGGAGGTGGGAGTGGGTGTGTAGGCCTGGAAGTAGAGATTGCTAGCTGCTGTTTTCCCTCAAATTAGTAGTGTGTCCAGGTTGGAATTCAGCAATTCTGACTCTAAAGTTAGGATTACTGTCCACCAAATCTAAGGAACTAGATTTGGTGGACAGAGTGTCTGAAGAAGTATGGATGGAGGCTCATACAGGAGGCATCAACAAAAACCATCCCAAAGAAAATGAAAGGCAAGAAAGCAAAGTAGCTGTACAACAAGGCCTTACAAAGAGCAGAGAAGAGAAGGGAAACAAAATGCAAGGGAGATAGGGAAAGTTACAGAAAATTGAATGCAGACTTCGAAAGAATAGCAAGGAGAGACAAGAGGGCCTTCTTAAATGAACAGTGCAAAGATAAAGAGGAAAATAAGAGAAAGAGAAAAACCAGAGATCTGTTCAAGAAAATTGGAGATATTAAAGGAACCTTTTGTGCAAAGACGGACATGATAAAGGACAAAAATGGTAGGGACCTCACAGAAACAGAAGTCATCAAGAAGAGGTGGCAAGAAGACACAGAGGAATTAGACCAGAAAGATCTGGATATCCCAGACAACCCAGACAGTGTGGTTGCTGACCTTGAGCCAGACATCCTGGAGAGCGAAGTCAAGGGGGCCTTGGAAAGCATGGCTAACAACAAGGCAATGCACTGGATTATAGTGAAAGCCAGAGAGTTCCAGAAAAACATTCACTTCTGCTTCATTTACTATGCAAAAGCCTTTAACTGTGTGGACCACAACAAACTATGGCAAGTTCTTAAAGAAATGGGAGTGCCTGACCACCTTATCTATCTCCTCAGGAATTTCTATGTGGGACAGGAAGCAACAGTCAGAACTGGATATGGAACAGCTGATTGTTATTATTATTATTTATTTATTTAATTTATACCCCACCTATCTGGCCCACCGGACCACTCTAGGCGGCTTCCAAATATAAAATCAAATAATAAAACATAGACAAATACATAATAAGCAAACAAGGACAGCAGTAAAAATAAAAAGGAAAAGTAAGAAAAAATCAAGAGTTGGCTGGAGGGAAGGCCTGAATAAACAGCCATGTTTTTAATTGGGTTTTAAAGGTGCCCAGCGTTGGTTCAAAATTGGAAAAGGAGTATGACGAGGATGTATATTGTCTCCCTGCTTATTTAACTTATATTCAGAATACATCATGCGAAAGCCTGGACTGGATGAATCCCAAGATGCAATTAAGATTGCCGGAAGAAATATCAACAACCTCCAATATGCAGATGATACCACTCTGATGCAGAAAGTGAGGAGGAATTAAAGAACCTCTTAATGAGGGTGAAAGAGGAGAGTGCGAAAAATGGTCTGAAGCTCAACATCTAAGATCATGGCCAATGGTCCCATCACCTCCTGGCAAATAGAAGGGGAAGATATGGAGGCAGTGACATATTTTACTTTTTTGGGCTCCATGATCACTGCAGCCACAAATTTAAAAGACACCTGGTTCTTGGGAGGAAAGTGATTACAAACCTTGACAGCATCTTAAAAAGCAGAGACATCACCTTGTCGACAAAGGTCTGCATAGTCAAAGCTATGGTTTTTCCAGTAGCGATGTATGGAAGTGAGAACTGGACCATAAAGAAGGCTGACCACCAAAGAATTTATGTTTTTGAATCGTGGTGCTGGAGGAGACTCTTGAGAGTCCTCTGGAATGCAAAGAGAACAAGGAAATCAACCCTGAGTGCTCACAGGAAGGACACATCCTGAAGCTGAGGCTCCAATACTTTGGGCATCTCATGAGAAGAGAAGACTCCCTGGAAAATACCCTGATGGTGGGAAAGTGTGAGGGCAAGAGAAGGGGATGACAGAGGACGAGATGGTTGGACAGTGTAATCAAAGGTGCCAACATGAATTTGACCCAACTCCTGGAGGCAGTGGAAGATAGGAGGAGGGCCTGGCATGCTTTGGTCCATGGGGTCACAAAGAGTCAGACACGACTTAATGATTAAACAACAACAAAATCTAAAGTAGACAAGGTAAGATATATCATAGCACTTTTCAAATACTTAAAAGGTAGTCATGCACAGGAGGGGCAGGATCTTTTCTTGATCATCCCAGAGCGCAGGATATGTAATAGTAGGCTCAAGGTACAGGAAGTGAGATTTAGGCTGAATATCAGGAAAAATGTCTTAACTGTTAGAGCGGTATGATAATGGAAACAGTCCCCTAGGGAGGTAATTAGTGCTCCAACACTGGAGGAATTCAAGAGAAAATTGGACAACCATATTTCAAATCTGCTTTGATTTGGATTCCTGCATTGAGCAGGGAGTTGGATTCAATGGACTTCTAGGTCCCTTCCAACTCAATGATTCTAAAACTTTTGCCATTTATGGTAAGGGTACAATCCATAGTACATTTGCTTGGAGCTGAGGCCCACACAACAAAGTGAGGCAGATACCTAAGTAAACATGCTTGAAAGCAAGCTTCCTTATCCATTAAAGCTGAATGCAATCTTTAAAAACTGCAAATGATTGTATGTACAGATTTTAAATGGTCTTCAAAATTCAGTGTAAGTTATCATATCAGACAGAAAAATTCTGATAGCTTCTTCTCTTAAATGTACTCTTTTTCTTCATTTAGAGAGGTTTGTAGACAGGAATTCATTCAAAAATTTAAAAACTATTGTGTAGACTGAATTAAAAAAATTTAAAACCCTTGTGTAGACTGAATAAACAAACCCTTGTGTAAATTGAATTTTAAAAACCCTTGTGTAGAGAAGAACTCCCCCAGCACATGATTTTCTTGAAAATTCATGTTGTTCATTAATTGCGTTTCTATACAGTGCAGACAACTGATAGCTCATACGTGGTTACTCCCTATATGATATACACAAAAATCAAGGTTGAGAAGTTATTGCAGGATAGGTATTTTAAATAATAATCCCTCTGCATAAGTAAAGAATTTCAAGCTATGCTAGCTTTGCTGCCCATTGCGTTAGTTTAAGAATCAGCCTTTATACTTGGGATCTTGCCAAAGAGATAATACTGCTTTGTTTTTGTGCTTGCTAGTACAGAGTGAGACATTTGTTTCAGTTTGTTTTGGGTGAAAACTGATCCACTTCCTACTGCATAGGACTGAGCACAAACTGATACAGTCTGTAGTCTATTCACATGCAGTCCATAGATTTTTGAGTTTGCAGTGTGATTTGTATAACAAAAGTGTTGAGAAATACAACACATTACATAAAATACAGAAATCTGAAAAATTGTGGAAACTGTGGACACAACCACTTGCTTCCACTTTGATAATTGTCATTTGTACTTTCAGTTAGCATGGGAACCTTATTTTCTGTCTCTTTCTGGTGTACCTGTACCCATTCCTGTGCCATGGCAAGAATTATAATAATTCAGTCCATATGCTAATGAAACAGAGGAGTGAAGCTTGAGTCCTTGCAGGCTCATTAGGCTGTGCAGAAATAGGCCATGAAAGAAGGACAACTAGTTCTGTGTGTTTGCTGGTTGCTTATGTTGCATCAGTTTTTATATGTTGCGTTTCTATGGGATGATGGTAGCACTGAGGAATTCTACCTATCCAGACACTACCAAGATCCCAAACCATAAAAGAATGAAAGAAAATCCTTCCAGTCTGATTGATCAATCATGATTACTGCTGTGCTTCTGCTTAATGAAGCAAGAGATTTATAACAAACTAAAAAGCAGTACATTCAGTCTGTATAATTTGTGGAAAGGGAGATAAGAAGGGGGGAGATTTCTTGGTCCACTCCTCTGGGAGGATGGCTTCTGAAGGAACCTTTAAAAGAAGACAAAGGTAATGTGGATTGCCAATTGTATGATGGCAAGCAATATGAAATGAGAAAAGAAGGGGCATCATTTGAATGGGTATTGGCTTTAGATTGCATTGATAGGCAACTAGGTAAGATGAAAGAGAGCATGCTAAAATGGGCTGAAGTATGGATGACATCTCTGTGCCTACTAGGTGTGGTGTCAGTTGCTGTAGATCACTGTGCAAGGATTTGCCCCACATGTCTATTTGCTGTTCTGTTCCCTTTCCATATTACAGTACATTGCTCTATTTTTATTTTTAATTGCAGGAATAATTATTTCTGATTTATACAAATGTGTTCCATTTGCCTTGGGGAGATAGTTCATCTTTCATGAAATACAGTTTGGCATGATGTAAGTCCATGATGAGACCACACCTTGCCTGTTTATAGCTGTTACAGTGAGGATCTTTGCAGGATGGGAGTGGGTGTTAATGCCACATGCCATAGGTCTCAAAGTAATATATGGGGCAGGATGGAAATTAATCGTTTCTTTCCACATACTGTAGCCATAAATATATGCTTTAAAGTCATAGCATAAA